AGCCCCCCAAGCCTCCTGCCCCCCTGCCCTGACCCACCCGAGCCCCCCCACCCACGGGTGATCCCAGGGCATGTCCCGTGCCCCGGTGCCCGCCCCCAGCACCCCGGGCAGCTCCCAGGAGGTGCCCAGTGTGAGACTGGGGACAGGACAAGGGGAGGAATGGGGACAGGGATGGGGGGCAGGAGCCCCTCTTGACCCGGTGTGCCCACCACTCCCAGTGATCCCAGTGTGCCCACTGTATCCAGAGTGCCTCACGTGCCCAATGTGCCTGGTGTTCCCAGTATCTCCAGTGTGCCCAGTGATCCCAGTGCGCCCAGTGTACCCAGAGTGCCTTACATGCCCAATGTGCCTGGTGTTCCCAGTATTCCCAGTGTGCCCAGTATTCCCAGATTGCCTCACACACCCAGTTTGCCCAGTGTTCCCAGTGTCCCCAGTGTGCTCGGCATGCCCGGCATGCCCAGTGTTCTCAGTATGCCTGGTGTTCCCAGCGTGCCCAGTGCTCCCAGTATGCCCACTGTTCCCCATGTTCCCAGGAGACCAGTGTGCCCAGTGATCCCGGTGTGCCTGCTGTGCCCAGCTTGCCCAGCACACCCAGTACTCCCATTGTGCTTGCTCTGCCCAGTATGCCCAGCATGCCTAGTGCTCCAGTGTGCCCAATGTGCCCAGCATTCCTAGCGTGCCTGATGTGCCCAGTATTCCCAGTGTGCCCAGCGTGCCCAACGAGCCCAATGTTCCCGTGTTCCCAGGTACCCCGTGTGCCCGCCGTGCCCAGCACCCCCAGCATTCCCGGCGTTCCCGGGTGCCCTCCTTGCACCTCTCCCCGGCGGTGAGCGCTGCCAGCCGCTCCTCCCCGGGCTGGGGGGGCGAGGGGTCGTCCAGGATGCGCTGGAACTGCAGCTCCAGGTCGGCGGGGGGCAGGATCGTGCCCCCGTAGTAAAGCCACACCTTGTAGTAGCGGCCCTTGTGGTACACGGCCAGGTGTTTGCTGTCCGCCAGGTGCAGCAGCGTGTCTGGGGGGCACGGGGGGGTCACGGCCGCCCCCCGGGATGGGATCCCGAGGGATGGGGCCCCCTCCCAGGATCGGTGCCCCCCCCCCGTACCCGTCTCCTTGCCCGGGATGCGGGTGGTGTTGAACATCCGCTCCGACTGGTAGGAGCACATGGGCACAACACCCAGTGCCATCAGCTGGGGGGGGGACATAGAGGTCAGGGGGGGTTGTGCTCCCACCTCCACCCTCTGTATCCCCCCATCCCGGCCCCTCCAGAGCCCCCGTGCCAGCCCATGGTGACTCCTCTCTGTCTGCCCTTGCCCTGCAGCCCTCCCTGCCTTTCCAGCCCCCCCAGTGTGCCCAGCCACAGCCAGCTCAGCCCCACGGGACCCCCTCAGCCCCACAGAACCACCCCCAGCCCC